GATCATGACCTGAGCCGAAGGCAGTAGCTTAACCAACTGAGCCACCCAGGCGCCCAAGATTTTATTTTTTTATTTGAGAGAGAGCATGCCCTGGCAAATAGAGGGAGGGGCACAGGAGGAGAGAGAGGGACTAGCAGATACCACCCTGAGCATGGAACCCACGGTGGGCACATCCCACCACCCTGAGAGGAAATAGGATTATTTTAGTAACCTTTTCAAATAATTGTGGATATTCTTTGATACAACAGCAAAACTTGACAAATGATAGTTTAAGGGTTAGTTGAAATGTGAAATCTGAAATCAAGTCTATGAACTTTTTGTGCTTTTTATATTAAAATCTATTGCTCTATCTTAAACTGTGAAAGACTCATGTATCCATGATTTTGTTACCATCGTGCATTGCTTATTTAGAAAATACTGATTTATGGAATTAGGCAGATCTTCCAAATACTGACACATTTCATTATTAATATCACACAATTACTTTTGTTAACATCATCACCAATCTCACCAGAAAAATATAAGTACAGGGAAGCTATCAAGCACAGTGGTAAATGCAAGTTTTCCCGAATTTTTATTTTTGCTTGGCATCAACTTCTGTCAGTTTTCTTGAAATGACAGGCTCACTTAATTCATGTTTAAGGAAAATATCTGCCAAATACTCATGTCTGTATAACACTGTTAGTCTGTCAAGTAAATATGGTATTCTATGAAAAGAGCAGCTAGTTCAGTTTGAGGCAAACATTATACTTCAGTATGTAGCAGAAGCGTTCTTCTATATGTTATTCTATTTCATCACAGAGATTATTAAAAAGCTATATACTCAAGACTGGAGTATTTAGGAGACAGAAAAAACTGGAGTAATGACCTCCCAGAACTGTCTCTCTTATAAAAGCAATGAGAAAACTGGAAAAAATGTCAGAATGAAGATTTTCCAGGACTACGGAAATTAACAAAATGCTTGCAGCAATGTGGGGAGCATTTATTTAAGAAAAATAGCTGAATCTCATTAAGGGCAGTGAGCTTCATGTAACTTTAATTTGCCCCATTCCCATGTCTTCCTTCCTTTCTTTCTTTTTTCCCCCATGTCCTCCTTTTCAGTTCTGTAGTAGCTAAAAAATAACACCACATAATTACAGCAAAAACAAGAAGCCTAAAAGGCATGGGGGCGGGGGCGGGGCACGCAGAATGGTGTTGGAGTTGCTTCCAAGAGTCATTTCCAGTGAATTATCTGGAAGACACTACTAGCAAAGCTGTTTTTATTTTACCTGACTCATAGCTCATCCAATGCAAAATACCTTTTCTCTTGGAGCATTTTTCAAAAACATTTAGAGGGAATTGTTTAACTCTGTGGCTGTCTGGAGCATTGGAAAACAGTTGGGGCAAACAATAAGTTAACACAAAGCTTACAAGAAAAAGGTAGGGAATGAGATGTCCACAAAGACTCTGAAAATCTTTGACATATTTCTGGAAATCTAAAAGTCCATGTGCATATGTAAGGTTGTGCACATTCTTAGAAAATATCTGAGATGACCCTAAGTTCTCTCCTCTGGCTTTCAGTCTCTGTGAAATCAGGAAGTTAAAGCTAAGGTGTAGTTTTCAGTTGCCTGGCTAAACAATGAAGGGGTGCCCCAACATACACAGAGACATTTGGTAAAAACTGGGAGATTTACTGGTTCTTCCATTTAAGGAAATCTCTTTCCAATTGTTAGATGGCCACTAAGCTAATTGAGTAGACTTTAGTGGTCACACTTGTCAAAGAACACAGACTTTATAATATTCAGAAAAGTCACTAAACAAACAACAAGAAATAGCAACAAAAATAAACCCAGGGGCCGGGGGAAGCAATTTTATTTCTAGAAATGCCACATTACATTATTTACAATGCACAGTTTTCAACAAAACAACAACAAAAGACATGCAAATAAACATTAAAGTATGGCCCATAAGCAAACAAAAATGCAATCAATCGATAGACACTGCTCCTGAGGGAGCCCAGATGTTGTACTATGTAGACAAAGATATTTATTAGCTATTTTAGATATGTTCAGAAAACTAAAGGAAACCATGTCTATAGAACTAAAGGAAAATATGAAAAAGATATCTTATAAATAAAGAATATCAATTGCAAAAAAATAGAAATTATGGAAAAGAACCAAATAGAAATTCTGCAGTTGGAAGGTACAAAAAAATGAAATGAAAATTTACTAGAGAGGCTCAACAGTAGATTTTAGTAACACAAGAATCAATGAACCTGAAGACAGGTTTATTGAGATTTTCCAGTCAGTAGAGTATACAGATAAAAGAGTGAAAAAAATGAACAGAGGCTCTGAAACTTATGGAACACCAACAAGAATAATAACATATGCATAATGGGAGTCTCAGAAAGGGAGAAGAGAGAAAAAGGAGCAGAAAGAATATTTCAAGAAATAATGGCTGTAAGACAGTGATGAAAGAAATTAAACAAGAAGACACAAACAAAAGGAAAGATATTCCATGCTTGGATTAAAAGAATTAATATTGTTAAAATGTCCATACTACCCAAAGCAATCTACAGAGTCATGCAATCCCTTAACAAAATTCCAATGGCACTTTTCACAGAAATAGAACAAACAATTCTAAAATTTTTATGGAATCACAAAAGACCTTGAATAGCCAAAGCAATCTTGAGAAAGAAGAACAAAGCTGGAGGTATCATGCTCCCTAATTTCAAACTATATTAAAATCTATAGTAATCAAAACAGTATGATATTGGCATTAAAGCTGACACATAGACCAATGGAACAGAATAGAGAACTCAGAAATAAATCCATGCTTATATGGCCAATTAATTTACAAGAAGGGAGCCAAAAATATA